TTCGCTTCATTGTGGCTTTTATACCCTAATGCTGCGATGGCGTCCAGACGTCGCTGCACCCAAACCCTAAACCCTAAACCCTAAACCCTAAACCCTAAAGACGGTGGAATTGCAGGGGTGGTGGTGATTCTTCCGGTGTGCGAATGAGAGCGTAGGATTTATTTAGGGTTTGGAATGGTCGCAGTGGTTCCCAGGGTTTAGGGTTTAGGGTTTAGGGTTTAGGGTTTGTACCTGAATCGGAATGCCATTGGGGACTGCAAAGGGATTGGAGTGTCTCCGCAGCAACGGAGCCAAAGGCGAATTCTGAGTGCCGCTGTCTCCTTCTTGGAGCAGCTCAGCGCGGTAAGACGGAGACACTGTACCCCACGAGTCACACTGCAGCAGCACGCATCTGCAGCAGCAGCAGCAACAGCAGCAGCAGAAACAGCAGCAGCAATAGCAGCAGCAGAAGCAGCAGCAATAGCAGCAGCAGAAGCAGCAGCAACAGCAGCAGCAACAGCAGCAAACCCTATAAACCCCTCAAAACCCTAAACCCTAAACCCTAAACCCTAACGCCAAACGAGCAACACACGCTCCTACCATCTTGTGGAACAAACAATCAAACATACACATGCACACACAAACTCGCAACTCCAAACCCTAAACCCTAAACCCTAAACCCTAAACCCTAAACCCTAGGCTGGACCTCGAGGGGTTGACGACGTGGTTGTGCCAAAGAGGATCCACCAACAACTCCGTAGGCAGCTGATGAAGCCAATACGCATCTTCTCGTTTGTTCATATAAATACGTCCTGCAGCAAAACCCTAAACCCTAAACCCTAAACCCTAAACCCTAAACCCAAAACCCTAAACCCTAAACCTTCAGTCGGCGCACAGGCCCCCGTGTGTGCTCTCCAGTGCGTACCCTACCCCTATAGCAAAAGCAACACACCCTCTACGTAGCTAGCTGTCTAGCTAGCTAGAAAGCTAGCTAGCTGTCTAGCTAGCTAGCCGCCTAGCTAGCTAGCTGTCTAGCTAGCTGCCCCATCGAGCCCCCTTAGCTAGCTAGATAGCTGCGTAGCTAGCTAGTTAGCTCTCTAGCTAGGTAGTTAGCTGCCTAGCCACCTAGCTAGCTGCCTGGCTAGCTACTAGCTAGCTACCTTCGTAGTTGGGGTCCAGGTTATGAATGATGTGAAAGAAAGTGCTGTTCTCAAATGTAGAACCGAAGAAACCGTTTTTTGCGTATGCGGGAATCAAAGATGTCGGCCAATCGTTCGTAACAATCAACTGCACCCACAAACCCTAAACCCTAAACCCTAAACCCTAAACCCTAAACCCTAAATTCTGAACCCTAAATTCTGAACCCTAAACTCGTAGGATGTCGATTGACCCTCAAGTAGTACCGACAATACAAAGGCATCAGCACAACCCGATTTGCCAACAGCGTCAAACCCTAGGTATCTGAACCCTAAACCCTAAACCCTAAACCCTAAACCCTAAACCCTAAACCCTCGGCCGACCTGTGGGATGATGCGTTCGTGGCAGAGAAGCTCCAAGGCGCCCTTAGCGAAGGTTACAAGCATTCTGCAATATCCACACACCAAACCCTAAACCCTAAACCCTAAACCCTAAATCCCCGTGCAGCGGAATCATGGCCGAGGCATCAGCACGACAGGTGCAGCCACATGTTATGCTTTAAAGGGTTTAGGGTTTAGGGTTTGTGAGTCCCAGGGTAAGCTTGATGTTTCGCGGCAGCTTGCCGGCTGCTTAGGAGGGGCGCATTAGGGTTTGCTCCAGGGCTGGGGTTTAGGGTTTAGGGTTTAGGGTTTAGGGTTTGACCTTATAGCGTCGATTCCATAGAATTCGGGGTAAGGTTGAGGGAAGATAGAAGCGTGATGAATAAAATAGAGTTGAACGTTCTTAACCACACAACCCCGGTGGATCCCTGCACCCAGCCACAAACGCTAAACCCTAAACCCTAAACCCTAAACCCTAGGCACCCGCGAAGTCTGTGCTTCAAGCCTGCCCTGCTAGGGAGCCTAAGGGTTTAGGGTTTAGAAAGAGAGCGCGCCCTAGAACTTAAACTATCAAAAAGGGTTTGGAGGTTGACATCACCGTAGGGCTTAGGGTTTAGGGTTTAGGGTTTAGGGTTTAGGGTGTACCAAGTTTAATGAATTCGCCGCCAACGTGCACTTCGACATTGAAGGCATGGGAGATCCCGTCCCTCTCCAAATACCCTCTCTCTCCCCGTCTGATCCGCAAACCCTAAACCCTAAACCCTAAACCCTAAACCCTAAACCCTAGAGCGGCAAGCTTTAGAAGGAAGGGTTTAGGATGGGTGTATTACTTGCCTGTTCCTGTCGTAGTAGGGAGAAATGACAATCACCTCTTGGCCAAATTCCTGGAGGCGCACATTCTCCAAACCCTAAACCCTAAACCCTAAACCCTAAACCCTAATCCATAAACCCTAAACCTCGCAAAAGCAGCGGTGATCGCTCTGCATCCTTAACTTTGCATTGGAGGAAATGGAAGGCCAGGGTTTACCGTTCAAGGTTTAGGGATTAGTGCTAATGGCTTAGGGTTTAGGGTTTAGGGTTTAGGGTTTAGGGTTTAGGGTTTACGGTGGCTAGGGTTGTTGAGAGCTCATCCACCATCACCCCCAAACCACCGACTGTCGACCATTTGCCTAACTCCGGCGCAACAAAAACCAGCGGAGTTAGTCGGTTGCTTTGCAATACCTGAAGCCAAACCCTAAACCCTAAACCCTAAACCCTAAACCCTAAACCCTAAACCCTCATCCCTGAGCACTAAAGCGTAAACCCCTGCTTGCCTACTGCAGATGATACCAAACACACCCTGCAAAATGCAGATAAACCCTACCAGTGCACCGGAAAGCTACAGAATCCTAAACCCTAAACCCTAAACCCTAAACCCTCACCTCATTTGCAAGCATAAGGCCGCGATTTGCTTTGGCATTCCCTACAGGGAGACTTTCTCCTTCAACCAATCGCCTCAGGCGAGCGAAGAAGGAACAAGCTGCGGCCCCACACAAATCCTAAACCCTAAACCCTAAACCCTAAACCCTCAGGTTGATGGACGCATCCGGCATTGCAGCGAGCACAGCTGCAAGAAGTGAGCGTTCAGCTAGCGGTTTAGGAATTTGATTATTTGTTTCTCGCTGGAATGAGGGTTTGGAAGTAGGGTTTAGGGTTTAAGGCGAGGGTTTGCAGTTGAGGGTTTAGGGTTTAGGGTTTGCAATTAGGGTTTAGGGTCTGACCTAGCATCCCATCTTTTGCGAAGAGTTTCGACTCGACGCAAATATCAAAAAGCGAGAGCTTATTCTTTGCTAGAAGGTGTCCTGCTTCAGGTCTATCTTGCTGCTGCTGCTGCTGCTGTTGCTGCTGCTGCTGCTGCTGCTGCTGCCATTCAAGGCTCCCGCGCGAGGCCCACGCCCAGCTGTCTCCTTCGCCAATATGAGCGTCTGTGAGGAGCTCGGCGTTGTCTAGGGAAGAGAAGAAGCAGCTTGCTGTTGTTGCTGCTGCTCCTTTTGCTGCTGCTGCTGCTGTGCTGCTGCTGCTGGGGCCTCCGTGCGCGCGCAGCTGCTGCTGCTGAGCCTGCCAATCTGTCAAGAGGTGCTGCTGCTGCTGCTGCTGTTGCAGGTGTTGTTGTTGCTGCACAATCGGTTGCTGCTGGTGCTGCATGATCTGTTGCTGCTTTGCTGCTGCTCCTGCTGTTGCTGCGGCTGCTGCTGCTGCCTGGTGCTGCAGCAGTTTGCTGCGGTAATCCAGCGCGTAGCTGAGTAGCTCCAGAAGGTCTGCTAGATTGTCCAGAGCAAATGCTTCTCGAGCAGCAAGGGGCACCTGCTGCTGTTGCTGCTGCTGCTGCTGCTGCTGCTGCTGCAGCGGAGCAGCAGCACGGTGCAGCAGCTCTAATATTAAGTTGGCGTGGGGCCTCCGGGGGCGGCTTCCCCTGCGGCTTTGGTTGCTGCTTTGTGTTTGTTCTTTACCTGCAAGAATAGGAAGAGAGAGTGTGCTTCTGCTGCTGCTGCTGCCGCTGCTGCTGCTGTTGCTGCTGCTACCTAGAGCAGCAAAGGAGAAGGTCGGGAAGGTCGGGGCTTGATGCCGCATGCGTCGCAGCAGCACTTCTAGCCGCAGCAAAGAAGAGCAAAACAGAGACAAGTAAAGAGGAGGTAAGCACAAAACAATGCTACGAGAGGGGCGTCCTATAATAGCTGTACGTGGCGTTGCTGCTGCTTCTTCTTCCTCCGCTGCTGCTGCTGCTGCTGTTGTTGTTGCTGCTGCTGCTTCGCGTTGCCAGTGAGAATCTGCCCGTTTCATGGGGCTGCGAGCAGCAGCAGCAGCAGCAGCAGCAGAAGCAGCAGCAAACTCTCTCTGACTGTTGAATGCGAAAGAATAGCTGCCGCCTGACGCTGCTGCTGCTTCTCCAGCCGAGGGAGAAACAACTGCTGCTGCTGGTGCAGCAGCAGCAGCAGCAGCAGCAGCAGCAGCAGCAGCAGCAACAGGGAGGGGAGACAGGAAAGAGGGAGGCTGTTCCTTGATTTGCAGCTTGCGAAGACAAGCAGCAGCAAATATATCGTTAGCTTTGCGTCTCAAGCCATGTGCTGCTTGAACTGCTGCTAGCGCTGCTGCTCCTGCTGCAGCGTCTTGCTGCTGCTGCTGCAGCATCCCTGCTGGCATCAAACAATATAGAGGGGGCCTCATATCGCATATAGGAAGGAGACAGAAAGCTCGGTGTAAAGAAGAGAACGGCTTCAAAGGAGGAAGTGCAAGTGGCTGCTCGAGCAGCTCCTGCAGAGGCATCACATTAGGCATAATGTTGCTGCCCAGACACCACTCCCCGCTGCTGCTGCTGCTGCTGCTGCTGCTGCTGCTAGTGCTGAAGCAGCTGCAGCACGACTTGTCTGCCTCGTTCTTCCGCAGCACAAAGTTTGAGGCAAAAGAATAATAAAAAGAAGAACAGCTGCAATTCATCAGGTCGCAGTAACCCAGCACAAAGCGCCT